TATTGGAGTGACAATCAGAAAATATGTGATTTTCCCACAAGTTTTTATTTCTGTCCACCGCAGAAGCTGTGATGTGGCGTGGATCACAGAGTCTTCTGTGTTCAGCCATAAAGAGGCTTTCTTGTGCTTTTCCGCATTTCACTCTTTCGCTCGCCCTGTTTCTATAGCTCTCTCGCTCTCCTTTTCTCAGATCAGACTGTGCTCCAGCCACGCTATTGGGCACCGAGCTGTAAACAGGAGCGGCACACTGATCCGAGTCACCTTCATTCAGGCCCATGCCCCAGTCGCCTCACACACCATTTCTTTTTTTTTCCTCCCTCTTTTTGAAACTCGTCAGTGTTTTGAATCCACACTCCCAAAAAACTGGTAAAAATGTCATGGGTACAGCTCCCTGTGCGGAGGATGGACCGCTGGGTATGCCCCTTGCTCATCGTGAGCCTGACACATAGGCCCTTTATGTGGCTGTGAGGAGGGTGGCCCCTTCCATCCTCTGCTTCTCATCCACACCCCAGAGGCTCTCATTCAACCCAGGCCTGGCTGGGGGGAAGTTGAAGCTCTTTTGTATTGGGGGGGAGGGGGATTCTTAGTGGGGGCTGTCAAGGCTGTGACTGTGTGCGCCTTTATTTCCCCAGAAAAGAGATGGGGTGGAGGGGGTAGAGATAGAGGGAGAGGGCAAGAGGGAGGCCGGAGAGGGAGGAGTGGTTCCAAAGGAGAGTTTGGACACAGAAGGCCTTGTTAACCGGCTCCCCCAAAGAGAGAGAGGATGAGACATAGAAAAGAAAGACGGAAAAGGCAAAGTAACACCAAGCATGAATTTTTTTTTTTTTAAAGCCAAAAAACCGTTTCCCTCTGTTACGTCACTGTGTTATTCCCATTTTACTCTACCCTTCCCTATCTGTTCCCTCCATCTGTCCCCATGTAAGCCCAATCTTCAGCTCAACAAGCTTTTGCCCTCCCCCTCACCTCTTCTCAACCTCGTCCATTAGTTTACGCACATTCTATTATCTGGGAGAGCGGGCTAAAAGAGATGTCTGGGGTCAGAGCGATCATTATCATCACCCCTTGCTGCTACACTTGTGAGTTATAGCCCACCATACTGGAAACAGACATTTAAATCATAATCAATAAAGCAATATCAATGCTGAGAAGCATGGCAAAAGGAAATCAGGCTCCAGGCTCTGGAGGAAACACATACTCTGAGACTGAGACGGTGGCACGCACATATTGATGAAACATGATCAAGCCAAATGAAAAAAAACACACACACAATATGTGACGTCACGCTTTGCACTTTTTTTCTAATGCTCAACTAATGCACATTGTGGCTGGTGTGCAAAAATGTGTGAAAGTGGAGCGAGCGCGTCATCATGAGGGGACGACGACGTGCCGTAGCCGCTATCCGACTCTCTGGTCACGTTAAGGTAACTAGGGAAGCAATGGTACTTGCAGGGGTAGCCGTACAAGACGCACACAGTGTTTCGTCCAGCAGGGACAATGCGAGGAGACAGGTGTGACCTGACCCAGCTGTGACCGGACCACGTTCTCCGTTGCCGTTGCAGCTGAGATCACGACTGAGTCTCTGTCTCTTTGCTGCCACGAGGAGAAAATGCCAGTTGCCCGCGTACAGAAAAAGTGAACCACATCACTGTCAGGGAAGAATAGGTTTGGGACATGATACAAAAACTCATCATGTAATCAGTCAGTATAAATTACAGTTCTAACACACAGAGAAAGGCTACACAATCACTGTTATTAACTTGCACAGTTTGTGGTGAATAAGATACTCTCGTGCAAATATAATGCATAATCCAGCTGAACTGCGCAGACTTGTTGGATTCCATATTTAGAAATCTTTGTTTCACCCACAAAGACCATTTGAAGTTACTATTATTATTATTATTAGATGTGGTTCTTTTATAACTTCTTTTCTCACCAGATGTTATTGAAAACATTATGGATTTGCTTTATATGATTTAAGAATAGCAACTTAAATAACGCTTATTTTGATGATTTCTTTTCTCCGCTCAAGCCAACACGTCCCGCTGAGGCTCTCGAGCTTGACGTAGGAGATGAGTATTGTTTTTGAGGTGGCTTTTTTAATGTTTTAAGAGAAAAACAAAGCATTAAGTAAATCACACATTATCATAGGGATTGGGTTTTGAGCATTGCCTCACTTACTGAGTGAAGTGAAAATACCCCACAGCAAATCTATAGTTTGTTACAGAGCTCGCAGCAGGCAAGAATAAAAATGTAGTGGGGAAAATTAAATGAGTACAAATGATGTGTTTAATAATTAATAATTTATTTGTTTACACAGATCAACTAGAACTATTTAGTATTTAATGATGATTTCACGTTTGCTAAATTAACTGGACTGGGACACTGTAATTGCGTATACAGTTTGGTTGAAAGTTAATCGTTGACATCATTTAAAAGATCATTTGCATATTGATTTGAATTTGGGTAACTAACAAAGATGGATATTGTTTGATACTGTATTACAGTTTAGAATTAAATGCTCTTTGCAAAGCACCTAATGTTTAAATGTTGTTTTTTTTTGTTAAAAATCAAATGGAAGTCAGGTTGAGTAGTGCAGTCAAGCACATTGCCAGCTTGATCAAACACTTCAGGAGCATTGAGCTTCAGTCCAGAATCCCAAGGTCCTGTGTAGGTGTGAGCTGTGAAACGAGAGTGCAATGCACATCATGGTTTATGTGCAGCCAAAGCCCACGCAGTGCTGATCAGACAGGGATCATCTGCTATATCTGGAATCTATAACCCTGTCGCTGGTGCTTAAGGGGAAATTTGGAGAGCTCAAACCAGAACCAAAGTGAAGCTATACAGTGTGTTATGTGTCATTGAAGTAAGCTTACTTTTTAGTAATTTTTTTTGTAATCATAGAGGAGACTGAGGTGTTTTATAGGTCATCAACTCCAAATATGTACAAAATGGCACATCCATAGTAAAAAGTCTGCAATGTAAAAATAGCAATAGGCATGCATAAAAACAATTACTTTGCTATCTTAATTGCTTTCCAAAGAAAATACTTTCTGTCACCTTTCCAATTAAAACATAACCAGGAGCTATATTAGATGTATTTTTAAATGGTGCCTGCAGCATATCTTGCTGTCTAAGATATTGGATTCCACCTCTACATTTTAATGACCAGTTTTATTTATGCAGAGGAATCAACACGGCTAAACAAGAAGCCACAAAAGACCATAGCATGAAACTGTGTTTTGTTTTTCTTTTTTAAACTGTGCCAGCTGAGGATTCAGCTCTAATGATTTACATCTTGTTATTTAGCAATGCCGCATATTACAATGCCACATGGATAGTGTTTACAGTATCTTTTCAATTAGCCTAACAGTTGTACAGAGTCCGTTTTCACATGCCAGTCTCCTGACATTTCTTAACCCAACTGACATACACTTGGTGAAGTGTGAACCATTTTGCAAATGAGGGTTATTCTGGGAGAGTCACGTCTCTCCTCCCTCTCTCTCCCTCTCGCTCTCCTCCATGCACCCTCGAGAAGGTTGTAAAAGCTGTTGTCCTTTAGTGATGACGGAAAGCGAGGAGGAGCCGCGAGAGAAAAAGAAAAGGAAAAGCTCTTCAATTGGAGCCCCGATTTCTCCTCTCTCCGTCTGCGTCTGTCTCTTTCACTCTCACTCTGCATGTGGCCTGCTGCTCTGTCATCCTCAGGGATGCATCTGAAGGAGACCATCTGTTGATCCATTTGTCTCCTGCTTTGCTTCCTGTGCCACTGCCTCTCTCCAATCGATGATCAGGCCTGGCCTTTCCCCTGCCCACCCTCTTTGTGTCTGCCAACAGGCCCTCAGGGCGAGGCGGGTTTGCTGTTCGGGTTGAGATAGGAGATTGTGCCCGGATTCAGACAAAGAGAAATGATAAGCAGTGGAGAACATGCTGGGTTTTTGTACACAGACTGCTCACAATGAACAAGCTAATGACCACAGAGAAAGCTACTTTCTAATCAGTGCTCATCTAAAGTGAGCATTGTTATGCTGACCTGAGTCAAAAAAATGTAATTCTTTTTTATGCGTTGCTAATATCAAAACCGTAATCTTCTTTCGCTTTGACAGTTTATCCTTACACGGATAGACGACAGACCACGAAATAGATGTTAGGAACAATGCCGAGATGCCGAAGGACCACCGGAGGCTTCCAAACGTTCACCACCAACACATTCATTGCTTGTGAAGTGTTTGGCAGCGTTGCTGCTAAAGAGAGTGGGGTGCTGGTTTCCACACATCACCCATCTGTCACCTCACATGCATGCTCATGGGTTTGACGGACACCGACTCCACCGTGGGGACTTTGGGGATTGCTTGCCTTTGATCTTCTCCCGTGACTCTCCATTAACCATCAGTCGGCAGAGCTCAGGCCCTGGAGAGCAACTGGGAAAGGGTGGCGTGTGAACACAAGCGCTGATGTAGCCAAGAGAAATTCATTGTCCAAATCTAGCAGATTACTGACATGGAGGAAAATGTACATAAATAGTGCTGGATGTAAATGTTTTGACTGTAAGTTCGTTGGACTATGGAGCAGGAGAGAGAATGGTAATGACAGGATAAAACTCAGAACACGTGTGCAGTGTGTGCGTTCCATACTGCTTATTTTTGCAGCATTTGAAGCTTTTTTTTTTCCTCTTTCTCTGTCCGCAGAGTTTTCATAGATTTGCAAGGTTTTCATCACGGCTGCTCAATATTGTTGATGATGGGTGTTTACCCAGGGAGACATGGCATTGATTTCCAATAAAGTGCAGATGGCATGCGGTCACACACACTCCTATTTTACCAAGAGCCATCCAATAAGTCATGATTTCACAACCGCAGTAACCTGGTGTTGTGGTTCTTCTGACAAAACCGGGGTGGGGTGTCCGTCATTGTGGAAAACCTTTAGTGGCTAACAACTTTATGCCTGGGATTCATTTGACTTGCTTTCACTGCATGGCTTTTTAATTTCTTCTTTTTGTGTTGCAGGCTTCCTCAGCACAGGTGACCAGGCAGCTAAAGGGAACTATGGGCTCTTGGACCAAATCCAGGCTTTGAGATGGATCAGTGAGAACATCGGCTTCTTCGGAGGAGATTCCAATCGCATCACAGTGTTTGGTTCTGGGATCGGAGCTTCTTGTGTCAGCCTGCTCACGCTCTCCCATCACTCTGAAGGTACAGTGGGGCAGAGGCGCCGGTGTGGTGGGGCTGTGTGTGATATAGCTGTTCAGCTTGTGCCTGCTGGTGTGCAGGCTTCTTGATATTATCTAGGCATGCAGGTAGTGAGTTACAGCGAGTAATCTAATCGAGTTCACTGTGCAGCATAAGAAATGTTTTAAGATGAAACAAGTTTGCATTCAAATGAATGTGATTTTCAGTCCAGAAATGGAAACTTCACGGTGGATTTCAAGCCACATGTGGGCTTTGACATATTCTGCCAGTTTGTTAGTATTCTTCCCTGTACCAAAAAATGGGTGTAGTGTGACACTGGAAGCAAGACACTGTATGTTAAGGAGAGCTTTTCAAGGTAGCCACGTCGTGCTAAATGGTGCACACTTGCAAGTTTTCTTTTTTAAAAAAACAAAATCACAATGTTTAGCTGCTACTTTAATGTCACCTCATGATGATTTACTGCTCATGTTGGACTTGTCTTTAATGCAACATGCAAGCTTGACTTGGACATGAAATAAACATCCCTCATACTAATCCTCCTCTAATGCATCACTAAATTCAAATAGAGCATTACAGGTAAGTAATTGCTGGAGGCCCAAATGCATAATACTGAAAGTGAAATTATTACATGTTTTTGTGCAAACATTTAAAAGTCATTACTGTAAGGGACCGCATCCTCAATTAGATTTGACATCATGGATGGATGCATGGATCTGAGGTTGCAGTTTGGGGAAGGCCTTCATAAGGACTGGCTGCAGCTCCCAAGCTGGGCTGGGGGAGGTAGAGTGAGGTACAAAAATGAGAATGAATTGCCGGTGGTGTAGGAAGGGTCATTTAAGGCATTATGGGTAGTTGTGGCTCAGCAAGTAGAGCAGATCGTCTACTAATTGGAAGGTCATTGCACAGTTTTGTGGCTACTCCAGTATGCATGTTGAAGTATCCTTGGGAATGATACTGAACTTTGAGTTTCCCCAGATCCATCCATTGCAATGTGAGTATTAGACAAACTATATATATAAGTACCAGTTCATTTACCATATAGTCAAAGCACTCGAAGGGGAGTGTATGAGGTGCTGTCCAGCTCCTAAAATTCAGATAAATTAACTCTTAATTGACCACAGTTGTGTGAATGCGACAGGCTGCAGTCCGCAAAGCGATGTTATATTTTTTTATATGTTATTTTCCAACTGAGAGATTTTTACATTTAGCCAGGCTCATGTAGCCTCATTGCAAACATGTTAACAAGCCACAAACATGTTGCTTTGGACACAGATGGCTGGAGGTGTAACACTGGGCTGTTACTGTACATTACATGGAAATAAACCACATCAAAGAAACCACTCTTGCAGTAGATAGAGGCCTGGTCCCAGACAGTGTTGTGGCCACAAAGCTATTAAGCGATACACCCCCATCACTACACACACCAGCTCAAACACACACACAGAAGCACACACTATTCAAGAACAGAGTGAAATCTCTCTTCTTGGATTTTTGATTAGTGGACCAACCAGGGTGAGTTTGAAAGAGGTCATTTGATCGTCTCTTCCTTGGAACCCCATTACAGTGCCAAGGATTTGTGATATGTTTTGCATTCTCCAATTTGCATTAAAGTGTTACTAATTGCCTTGATTTCCTCCGATGACTGATGACTGCTTTTGAATTGAATTTTTACCATAAATGCCTTTTTTTTATTCATACTTCATAATGCTACGCTCCATGTAGCATGTTATTATACTGCCAGAGAAACCATCTCCTCCCAGTAAATTGGATATTACCGGCTCTGTTTTTTCCCCTGAATGGAAATGTATGCCCCACTGATGGGATAAGAAAAAAGAAAAAGCCAGTAAAACTTGAGCGATCCTAGCAAATTGAAACAGGAAGCCTTCGATCACGCCAGGACTCTTGCTGTGAATGTTACCAATGGCAATCAGATTTCACACAGACTCTCTGGGAGCACAGATTGTTGTAATTATATAAAGTTTAGGACTGGAGTGGGCTGCTGGATGTGACAGGAAATACAAGTGAAGAAATGTCTTTTTGCACCTGCTTTCACAGCCTCCACTGTACACCACCCCGCCCCTCCTTCGGTCTTAAGCGTCGAAGCGAAAACTGGTAAGATGCTGTTGTTGCCAAGGCAACGTCACAAACAAGAAAGGAATCAAAGTGTCCGGGTCTACAAAGTGTTGAAAATTAAGGATAAAAATATATAATCAACTGAATTACAAACTGTGACACAAGAACACCTGGTTTCAGGTGGCCTCTGGTAATGGACTTGTGTAATGATTTTCTATCCGTGTCAGCAGACTGTTGCATCTCTGATAGAGCCTCTTATATTGAGCTTCCTACTTTGCAGTCTGAATGAAAATTAAGTCAGAAACACCACTCACGGTGCATCACAGCCCCTGAATTTATACTCCAACTTGCTTGCATGTAAACCCTTTTCCACTAGAGAAGTAGTATTTTCATAGTAGTGGTACATGTGGTATTATGGAATAAGATTTGCATCCCTACATACACAAACATTTCCCTTCCTGTTCTGCTCAGATGCACGATAATGAAGCCCAGGTGAAAAAATAAAAAAAGAGGAAATCAATGATGGCACACTGTACTGAAGCTCCCTGGTGTGTTGGTGTATTTAATGACAGTATTCCCACTCTTACGGTACAAAGTCTGTCATCACCGCCTGCAGTGCATAGACTTTCCATCTAACCGAGACTCTTTTCATGCCTGTTGGTGGCAGAGTGACAACTTATTTTAGATGCTCCATGCTCCTCCTGAAGCTTATTTAATAAGCTGAATTCTCCTATATCATCCTGGCCCTCTGGCCTCTCTCTTTGATTGCCTGCTCCGCTGGCCTGGCCTTGGTGGCGTTTTCGTGTGGGCGTGCCGAGGGCTCCAGTCACAGGGTACATCCATCACGGAGTTTTCCCCTCCTGGCCCGTGTGGAGGCTGGTCTGGATGCCTTCTCGCGAGGGCTAGCTTTTTTAGACCATGGTGCCTGCCCTGCCTCGTCCTACATCCAATCTCATCCTTACTTCACCCATCTGTCTCCTTGCCTACACAGTCAGTAAAAGCATGCACGGGACATGCTCTTTTTCACATTGTGCCAGTGCGTCTCTCTCCCTTGTCTCCCTCTCTAGGTTTCTGCTCCCTAGTCTGCAGCATGTGTGGTGTGTTGCTATTAATAAGATGGCTGCCTTGTCTGGTATGTGGCAAGCAATCTTGCTGCACATCTGAGACTTTGGAAGCAGAATGGTCATTAAAAGCGCAGTCTCTCTCGGCAGGAGAGTGTTTTTGACCAGCTTATTAAATGTAGCTCAACAGTTGTGTTCCCACTGAGGAAAATCTCTGTCCCCATCTTCTTTTTTTCTCCATCTTCAAAAAGAAAATGGCTAAAGAAGTTCAAAAGAAAGTACATTAGCAAGTCCCATGTATTATCTATCTGGCATCGCACAGGCGCTAATTAAACATGCAGATTTGGCTTTTTCCCCTATCTCCTAATAATCGTTATGATTTCAAAATTGAGATGGCTTTTCTGTGCATGAGCAGAATACCAAGTGCCCAGTGACTCAGACATGTGCATTTGTACATATATCTCTAGAGATTCAAAGAAGTGTTGCTCAATTCAAAACCCAAAGGAAATATACTATGCCATTCACACTCAGTGTCAGTGTGCATCTCATCCCCGCACATATGTCAGCACAGGCGTGTCCATTCACAGCTCACACATGAGGGAAGGGCTAGGTGTAGAGGCGCTGAAGGTCGTTTGGTTTCTTTTTTCTTTTTTTTCCTTCCTCCCTCTCTTCCAGTAAGCAATCAGGATAAAAGCTCCACTTCTAAGGAAGTGCTCCCGTTTTAATGGAATGTTCTGGACATTAAAGACAGCTAGTGAGGAGGATCCTTCATGCCAATGTCAGCTTTCATTTTTATTAAGACTTCTGGGTTATTGAGAACCATAAATACACATGTTAAATGCCTGGGTTTTATTACAGAAGTGCAAGGAGTACAAATGCATTTTAATGCAAGACGCCTCCTCGCAAATACTTAAACCCCATGAACCATGAGGGCAAGGGAGCAGGTACTTTGTTTTCAGGAGAGGGCATAGGTTTGAATCTATTTAGTGGGAAGAACAGGAGAGGATTTGATTAAGTGATAGAATGTGTGATTGGATCTGGAGAAACTGAAGATCAGAGCGACAGATTGTTTTTGCTTTTTTTAAAAAAAAATCTTAAATATGAACTTTATTACAGGCCACTGATGTTGTTTTAAATTTGCGAGTGTCTAGTGTTTCTAGTGTCATTCTTTCAAAATGTGTTTTGGAAGACACTTACAGAGCATGTTTAGCCAGGTAGGTAAGATACAGCCACAAAGCTTCAAGAGTATAACTGAGATTCAAGCAAAGGTTGATTTTGAACATGGATTTAGCCCTTCTCGTTTCATGGGATTTGATAGATCCACAAGGTATTTTATGGCATTTACTACCATCGGGGACTGTGGCCCTGAAATCATCGCACAAACAAAACCTTTATCAATTATTTATTAATGCTGTTAAGGGGGATTCTTTAACCCAAATCCTAACAAACTAAATATGAAAGGAAAGATTAAAAGAGAGTCCAAAGGATTAAAATCAACAAGTGAAAACCAAGTAAAACAAATAGCAGGCTTGTTAGAGCCATGAGTCATACAGTGATGGATATTATAACATAAGTATGCACTTACACAGAAGGCTAACTAAAGCATTCAGTCTTTGTTTATAGTAAGATGTTGTACAAAAATAGCTGATTGTAGTGTTAACCTGCTGGCGTTAGCTTGCCAATGATTGTAATTTAAAGAAATATTAGGCTTAGCGTTCTTACACCACGACAGTGGCCCCTGCTCATTCTAAAATGGGCGAGCATTGCTCAATCTGCAGCTTAAAGAAAATATCAGCACACCAGAACGAAGACAAGATGGAAGGAAGCTCATTAGCATGCACGAAATACCAGACCTAGTGTCGAAGAATG